GATCACTGGCCTTTAGAAGTATTTTCCAGTCCAGTCTCTTGGGGTACCACGCCCTGGCCCTAAGGTCCACCTTCAGCATTCCCTGGGGACCTTGCTGCTCCATTCCCTTGTTATTCTGCTGCACTCCCCCAGTGCTTTGCCTCAGTGTGGCGGGATCAGATCAGGTGCAATTTCCACACTGTGTCTCTGGTGTTGTCCCCTGCAGGGCCATGAATGCCCTGTTTTACCCTGTGTCTTCCCCTATGACAGCAACTGTAGCTATCAAATTGTCTTCACTCTTGTTTCTTTTGAAGTGCTATTGAACTGGACTATTTTATGCTTCCCTATATTATCTGTATTATATACATTTTTGGCAAATATAATAAAGTCAAGTTGCTCACTTGTGCTTGTGAATTTCTCATTGGACTTATGTATTTTATGAGAATCATTTTAATTCATTGAAGTTCTTTGCAGTTTTGTGTCTGTCTTCCTGATATTAACAAATTTAGTCTGTATACTTGAATATCCCAAGTCATCCCTAAAGAGAATGAGCAAGGCATGGAAGAATTGATCTAGGAAGTTTTTCTTTGTCATCAAACTTTAAACAGAGCGCAATATAATGGGAGATCAAACTGTTCAGGGCAGCAACTCATGGGCTGTGACCCAAGGTGGATGTGTACTCACATAGACTCCTCACACTGACAGTGTCCAAGTGCTGTGTCATTGGGAAAATTGATGTTATCAGTGCAATTGCCTTATCCCCAGGGGGATGATTGACAGTGTTTTACTTTTTTATTTATATTGGTTTTTGTTTTCCTGCCTTTAGTTTGTTTGTCCCTCTCTGTTTGTTTGATTATTTGGTGGTTGGCTTGCTGCTGGTGCTAATGTAGTGGGTCACATGAAGGTTTGATTTTGTCCTAAGATGACCACCAGAGTAATCCCCAGTCATACATATTCTATGGGCAAGCAGGTGGATTTTGGGTGCCTACGTAACTGTAGCCCCAATCCAAGAACAGTTAGTTTTGATAATGTGGCCCAGCGCGATACTTGCCTTCATGAAATGATCAGCGAAGAAAGAGAGTGCTACAGCAAAGTGTGGTGGAGAGAGCAGATGGTGCTTGACTATCAAACGGAATAGTGTCTGGGGTCTTAAAGTCTTGTATTCAAACAATTAGCCATCTAAGTAAGGAGTGAACTAAGTCCACTTGAAAGAAGCACACCAGCTTGTGTGATCCAAAGGTGACAAGTACAAAATTCAAAAATGGAGAAGGGAAAAGTGTCAGAGATTAAATTGTGAACACCCACTTTGTGGAAGGCTGGGGAGGCTCGAGTAGGAACCCCAAACCCATTTGCAGAGTATCTAGTCAGATCAAGCCACTGGCAGATACCCTCTCTAGCCAGAGGCAAAGGTCTGAAAAAGTTTTACTATCAAACATAGATCTTTGTAATCCTGCTAAGGCTGGATAAAACTTGATGTGTGATCAGTTGACCTCCTTCTAAAACCTGAATTTGTTCTAGGTACAAAGATCTCTTGCTTGATCCTGGCTTTTGAAATATTGTTGGAGGTCTTTTCTTTTCTGCTCATTGTGGTATTTTTATTTTTATATTACTGTTGTTTTATCCTTACCACTTCATTTTCATTTGTTTTTTACTGTTTCTGTTGGGTGTAACAGTTTATGAAGCACAGAAGGAGTGGATGCATAGATATAATAACTGATGCAAGGATTTGTAAGGGATGTAGGGGGAGGGGGTGGGAGACAGGGAGGGTATTTCAGGAGTAAACAGTGAAGGCAGGAGAGAGAAGGAGCACTAGAGTGGAATGTGAGTGCACAGCTCATTTTCAAGGTCATTTAGTCATGGAGGGGAAAAACGAAAATGTTCTGAAATTGTGATAAGGATTGTACAATTCTTCTTGACATGCTGGTATGATTGACAATTGGATTATGTGCCAATAAAACTGAAAAACGAAAAGAGAATGAACGAAGTATAATAGTGTAGACATGTGAGCTATTGGAATTAAAAAACTATGCTCTTAATAGCTTTATATTTTTATCTCTATAAATCTAAGTTGGTCCTCACAATGGGTTGGAGGAAAAGGAAAAACTTAAGTCTTCCTTTCATGCATATGTTGGATAGCTTAAAATGAGTTTGTAGTTCTCAGCAGTCTAGGTGTGATGAATCAATGAAAGTGCATTTTTCTGTCTTAGGTAGATCAAACATCTTAGTGTGCTGGAGAGCTGACATGAGGCAGATTGTTACTGCGTCCTTTTAGATTTAGCTAATTTTGTGATGTCATGCAGATATTTCATGAAGTAAATCTTTTGTTTATAGGCAATGAAGTCTCCTGAACTAAAAGACCGGCTGGAAGAATCAGAGAAGCTGATCCAGGAAATGACTGTGACCTGGGAGGAGAAATTAAGAAAAACAGAGGAGATCGCACAGGTTTGTGTTTCCTGATTTAGGAGCTACAGCACTCATGGCAGTTTGCACAATGGACTCAGATGACATTTCTGGTTCCTTTTTGAATTTTAGTTTTGCAGATGGTAAGTATTAATGGGGGTCTAGATCCAAGAGGAAGTCCTTGGGTGGTGCAAACAGTAGAGTGATTTGAGCCTACCCAAAAATGCCTTGGAAGACAGGTCTGCTGATCTATTTCCAAAAGGTCATGCCCTTGAAATTGTAGTGCCGTCATACCTGGAGTTGCTTTGAGACAGGATTTACTTGATGGCCACTGGCAAACAACTTCAATAACAGATCCAAGAGAGTCACTGCTTTACATAATTATTTCGAAGGATAAGGAAAGCATTAATATACTTAAAACTGATTGAGTGTTCTACGCAAAACTTTTCCCCTTTTTTCGTATCAGAGTAATCTTTTAAACACTTTTTAATGAAATAAACACTTTATAGTCTTTGGCTTTGAACAACAAGTCTCTATAAAGTGCTCTACACAAATGCCTTACTATCATAATACTTGCGTACTTGTGTTTTGTGCTAAGTATTTGTTCTATAAACTTATTCTGCTCTTTGGCTTATTGGAGATTTTTCAGGGTTTTGAAGATACTCTTAACAAAGCAGCTCCACACACATTTACCTCATTTGATACTTTTCATTTCAGTCTTTTTAGTTGAGGATATTTTGTAATGTTTCAATAATTGACCTATTGTGAAATGCATCCCCGATGGTGGCCCACCAGACCCAGAATGATTGTGACCTGTCTGTTTTCATACACATAAATTAGTATTTTGTTTAAGCCTCTAAAAAGCCTTATGAGATAGATAACAATTATTACCCAGTATAGCTTTTTCTTCTTCCTTTTCAAAGTTAAAAATTTCTATTGCTGTCAACTAGGGATATGTAGAACAGAGAGGTCATGATTTATGCGGAATTCTGGTACTGTGTTGATTGTCTGAAGTTGATTCTGATGTATAAGTTGAATGCCCTTTACAAAAATGTTCACTATGATTGCCTTTTGTTAATATACCTATTCATTACATCATTGAATAGCTATAAGTGAACATTTGAGAATTATATCAACTGATTACATGCGCTACCATTGTATAAGGGACCTTCCAATTTATCTTTGAAAAAAGGAATTTAAACACAATAGAATTTTTCCACTAACATTTTGAAGTCCTCTGTGTATAGTATGTATTACTAATGATAAGGAAAATGATAAATGATAACAAACAAAACCGAAAACAAAACAGAAGGTTGTGAGTGCAGTTTGACATATCAGGCACATCTTATCAATCAAGGATTGACTATACAGCTTGGGTCACGCAGTAGATTCCATCTTTAAATGTTCTATTTGGAAATAAGCATAATTGTTGTAAGGCAGTTCTCTTAGCATAACTGAACATTATATTTAAAGAAGTACAAATTAGGATTTAATTTTATTTTAAAAACTTTTATTACAGAGTTTTTCAAATATGAATAAAAGTTAGAAAATGACATAGTAAAACTATATGTACATATAACCCAGTTTCATTCAATATTAACATATGGCCAGTCTCATTTTTTTTCTCTGTCCCTACACTGGATTATTTTACAGTAAATTCTGTACTAATTCCGTGTATTTTTTCATTTAGCATTATTCATGAGCATTTCCCCCATATCATATGTAAAGAAATGCTACTTCTTATGGGAATAATTCTTTTCATGATTTTCCAAAAATCTCCATGTAAAAGAACCTATCTCTCTGAAGGAGCTATAGAAGGTCTAATAATTGCTTTCTTCATTTTATGAGCATGGTTTGGGTATCAAGAATAGAAATGTCTTAGAATTGAGTGCTGAAAATTCTTCCCATCTCTTTTTTAAACTGTTCAAAATTTCTGAAAAAACCCTATGATTCATTTTGCTAGGAGACAGCCTTGGCACATGATCTCAGGACCAAATACCCTTTTTATTTCTTTGGGGAAATAGGGTATTTGTAAGTAACATGTATAGACCGAGTTGCAGTATCCATAAGTTAGGATAGCAACATTTTGAGGTTTTATTTTAGTTATACCACAAGCTAAATTATTGGGCCACATTAATTTATTGTCTTTCCTCAGAATCAAAGGTCCTTTGTGCCTGTGACTCATCACTACTTGCTGTTCATAAATATTCAAAGACACCAGACGTTGCCCTGATTCACACAACTTAACCATAGAGCTTTGGATTATAGGGTTTATATCTTTGTAACATTCCCATATTATATGGGTTAAGGGGAGGTAAGCATAAAGGATCACAATCTTAGGAAATAGTTATTGAATGCATATGTAAGTTTTATATTGGTAAATCCTTACTGCATAATTCTTTGAGTGCTCGCTGTGTGCCATGCATTGTACTATGTGCTAGGATTAGAACGTAACATAGGGTCCATGTCCTCAGAGAACTTGAAGTCTGTGTGGGAGAAATGAGTAAGTAAACCATTGTTATACAAAGTGTAGTAACATGTATGCTTCAGATAGAAGGAAGAGATGTACACTCGCAAGCTAAAGAGAGAATTCTTGACTATTTAAGGGACCTGACAGATGTTCCGTGTGACTACAGTACAGAATTTAAAAGTAACGGTGACAAGAAATGAAGATAGAGAGGAGAGCAACTGGGCCACATTGCAGGACCTGCTGAACTTTGTTACTGGAGCTTGACCTCTGTCCTGACCAAGGAGTCACTGAAAATACCTAGGAAGAGAATGTCTTAAAAACTTTGCTTTTTAGAAAGAACAAAATTGAGTAACAGATATTCACATTTTCTTATATATACTGAATTAAATGAGAAAGATGAATTTAAGTTGTTTGATATTTTCAAGAATGAAATTTGAGAACTCAGTATACTGTACTTAGTTACCATTTGTAATGGTTTTTATTTTTAGAAATAAAACTACTTAAAATTTTTTTATATCTCTGTGACTCAATAGCTGTGACATTAATGCTTCTCTAATTATTTACAGGAGCGACAGAAACAGCTTGAGAGTTTAGGAATATCTCTTCAGTCTTCTGGAATCAAAGTTGGAGATGATAAATGTTTCCTTGTTAATCTGAATGCTGATCCTGCCCTTAATGAACTTTTGGTTTACTACTTAAAGGTGAAACAATATACTTTGCTAATAGTTTTCTGCTGTGAAATATAATATTTTGCACTATATATTTTTAAACCTGAGGCACCATATTTGCTCACAAAATAGAGCTAGCCCATTATTTTCATTTGAATAAGCTGATATGTATAAAATCTTGGGTTTCTGAGTTAGATTGTTTCTTTTATTTCCTTTTTAGTCTTTGAGGAATGTCTTTAAGCCTAATGATATAAAAATTGATATTCTGATATTATTTATAAAAAAGTTAATTAGCCATTAGAACCTTTTTTCGATGTGATTTATACAAGAAGGAAATTGATAATGTCAAAGTTTAAAGGATGGCATACAAAAACTAAATGACTTATATAAGCTTTGTAGCTTATAGGAAATATCTGTGTGGTTTTTTTTACTCAATCTTGTTGTTTTTGAAAATGCACAGCAAACTACACAACAATTCAACAGATTTACATGCAGTTTAATGACAGTGATCAAGCAGTGTAGGAATTCTAACCTACCTTTTATGAATTATTTCTCCACCAATAACATGAACTTACTGTCCCCTAAGTTTACTTTTTTGAAGCATATCTTTTGTAGAATAATTTGATACAAAATTTTTATTTCTTGTGAGTATCAGAGGAGATAAAAAGGGTTAGCAACCTGTTACTTAAAATTTTTTTAAAAGAATATAGGAAGGTCACTTAGAGTCTGGGAGGGTCAGAATACAAAACAGATAAAAACAAAACTGTAAATTATGGACCATTTCAGGAAATAGAGACAACTATAGAATGAACATGAAGTCTGAGTCCATTCATAAAAATATGAGCACTACTCCAAAATTGCCTTTGAAATGCTCAGAGCATAAATTATGAGGATTAAATGAAGTTATATAGAGTATAAATGAAGTTATATAGAAGTTATAAAAAGAAGCCGTATAAAAATATTAAAACGTTTACATACTTCTTATTTTATTAACTTACATGTGCATTGTCCTTGTCTATTAAAAATGATGTATTATAGTATCACTGACTACATCAAAATAATGTTGGTAGCGTTCTGTGATAGAATATAAATTGTAGATATTCATGTTTTAGGAGAGGCTATGAGTCAAATATTTTGGCCTTTTTATTTCTATAAAGTTTGATCTTTTTTTCTTCCTGATGTCATGTAGTTCAAATCCAAAACAGAAGAAAACCCACTGATGTATATCTGTTCCTTAACATAAAAACTAAACAAAGAAACTGTTTAAAGACTTTTGGAGAGTAGTCAAATTATTTCTGGTCCTCTTATGTGGAGGTGTTTGGATTTTGTTTCAGACTGTGTGGTCAGCCCTAATTTGGCAGAGTTTGAGGCGGTCTTGATTTCTGGACTGCCCAAACTAGCCCCATGACAAGAGTATATTCATGACAAAGCACATTCAAACGGCTGATCTCAGTCCAAGAACACTTCTTGCTTCAGTAAAATGATACTATGATGTGGGATGGAGGAATTTGGAGGCAGAGCACTTTTTATTTCCTTGCTTCAAATTCGCAAGTCAATTTAGATGCTGTGCAGATGACGTAACATCTCTGGATGCCCTTAACCAACCTATCTGTAAAATCAGAGCCATGGATTAATGTATCTCTGAAGTTCTTCCTATCTCCAGAGGCCTTGTGGCACTGTGGGCTAGGTATTTCACTGCGAACCATAAGGTTAGATGAGACTGTCTGTTCCTGTAAGATTTACAGCCTCAGAAACCCTACATAGGATTGCACCCCGTCATAGGTGGGAAACTTGTGAGACCCGCTATGTATCTGAATCGATGTAATGATGATGGGTTTGGTTTTTGGTTATTATCCTTCTAAAAAAATTCTTTGACTAACTTATTCTGTCTGGAACTGGTCATAGAAAAGTATGGTGGCCAAGCCATTGACAGGATATAATTCATAAAATAATTTTGCATCTTAATTGTATATAAAGATAATCCTTGCTTTGTATGGTTCTGATAGCCCCAAATTTCAGCTAGTAGGGCATATTATCTGTGAGCAATTGGGTAAAGTACCAACTTCTTTGATAGATCTTCAGTCTACAACTTGCTACATAGGTTACTCTCACTCACTGACAAGGATTCGATTCTACCTATAATGACCTTGTAGGACAGGGTCAAACTGGCCCTGGGTTTCTGAGACTGTAACTGTTTATGGGAGCAGAAAGCCTCATCTTCCTCCCTACGAGTGACTGGTGGATTCGAACTGCTGACCAATCCAGTGTAACCCACTATACCACCAGGGATCCTGTTATATAAATAAATCTCAGATGTGCTTTATAATCATTTACACCATTAACAAACAAAAAAAACTGTAGGGATTGGTCACTATGTATCTGTTATTCAGATTACTCATAGACAAATTACTGTAAACTTGAGATTGCCAGAACCTGTGTAAAGTGGAAATCTGTAAGAAAAAGAAAACTCAAATATTTTCCACTAAAAAGAGTGATTTGAGAAACGATGTACAAATGCGCTTTACACAATTGATGTGTGTATGGATTGGGATGACAGTTGTATGAGCCCCTAATAAAATGTTAAGAAAAAAAAAAGTGGTAAGTCTGTATCCTGTCCAAGGTGGAAAACCTGTGAGACCTGGAAGAACATGGCAGTCCCATCAAGTACTGAAGTTGGACTCTCAGAGGTTGTACTGTGTGTTGTTGTATTGTCTCCCAGTGATAAGCCTACGTGACGCAGTATAGGTAATAGAAAGAGTGATTGAGTTAGCAAAAAAAGGAAAGTGTAATAAAGAAACAACACGTGATGATTCTGGAAGTAAGATTTGAATAGAGTATAATATAGTATTAAATAGTACATGAAGTTGGGGCTAACTGATCATTCATGAACTTCTTGATAGAAGCTAGAGGAACCTGGGGAAAGTTAACTTATCCAAATAACCGAGGAAAGTGGTTGCCATGAAAAGGATGAAAATACTGAAAAGCATAAGACAATGGGAAAAACCGTACATTAAAGATCTTTTACAACATCAGAGATATTTTACAACATCAAAAGCAGAAAGGATAAAATGATAGAAACTTGGAAAGGAGCATGAGAATTTGCAAAGGTGTGGAAAGAATATTCACTTCATATTGTAAATTGTGTGTGAAGAAGAAGGCAAACACTATTAATCTACTTTTGATTGTTTGTTTGTTTGTTTGGCTTTTTTTTTTAACCCAAAGAAGCCCACTCCCTTCAAAATAAGGTTTTAATATAAATGTTTCTAGGATACTATTTTACTATTTCTCATTTCTGTATGCATTTATAATAATATGAGAGTTATTAATGTTTTGCTACATTTTTAGAGGTCCTAAAAAATCAGAATTATTCCCATTGATTATTAAGATAGCATTACTTGCTTCAAGCCTGTTTAGTCCTTTTATAGTTTCATACTCTTCCTGCAAAGCAAGGACTATCTTTACTTCTAGAATGTAGGGGGCATTTATTCTAGCAAGCGCTAACTATGCCTTAAAAACATTGAGTTGATCGATGTTGCTTTTATAAAAAAAAATTCTATAAAACAGATAAGGAAGAAATTGAGGTTTTAACCACTAAATTCCAAGACCACCATACATATTTTTATGTGTATCCTCTGAGTCTATTCATATCTATCTATCTAGATAGATCTATCTACAGATATCTATCTATATATAGATACATGCAAGTTTATACGTGCAAATATATACATATATGTATACATATACATATAGGTGAAGATTTACATTGATAGGTATTTTTCATTACAGAAATCAGATTATAGCGTGATTGTTTTGAATGGCTTACTTGGTTCATCCACCAAATCTCCTTCTCCCTTCACCCCTCACGAATTTTTTTTGGAGAGCTATCTTGTTTATGCAATTCTGGATCTGTTCTTTGTATAATGTCATTCCTGATAGCAATGTGATTCTGAAGGATTTAGGTATTTTATACATTTGTATAAGGAGCCCTGGTGGTACCATTGCTGTTGGGTAAGTGTTGGGCTGCTAGCCACATGGTCCAGGGTTTAAGTCTACCAGCTGCTCTTTGGGAGAAAGAATAGCTGTCTGCTCCCATAGAGATTTACAGCCTTGGAAACCCAGGGTCACTATAAGTCAAGATCAGCTTGATGATGTGGGTATATATATATCTTTGCTGGATAAGGATTTGTGCCAGTGATTCAATTCAGTTGCAGCTTCCAAGCGCACAGCTATCTGGACCATAGCTCCAATTGAAAGTACATAAATTGCCTTTTGAGTCATTGCCAGTATTCAGAATTACTGATTGAGGTGGACGTGAATGTCAGGGGCAGTAGCCATTCAGGGTTTATGGAGCGTTGGGCAAAGCTTCAAGGAACCAGAGATGAATAAGCCTTACTTGTGGCTCTGTAGAAGCTCTTTATTGACAGCAATCCATGTGGTATTTGAATTTCTTAAAAGGACATAGAGATACCGTACCTTTCTTTTTTCACCTTCATCTCTAAAATACTGCCCCAAGAGTTTTCGTTCTGTTATTCTTCAGATATGTAAAAAGTAACAAATGCTTTTCTTGTTTGAGCTGGTACTTGCTTCCCTTTTCCCTCAGAGATGAAATATCTGAGAATCCGAGAGTGTAGAGGAATGGCAAAGGATGCACTAACATGTGAAGAAATAGCACCTGTGAATCATGTAGCTAGTGAATGAGTCCTCTCTCCCCACTTCCCCTCCCCAAAGGAGTTTTTTGATCAGAGAGAAGAGAGAAGTTCTTAAAAGAACTACACAAACAATTGACTTATAAAGCAGGCAAGGCACAATAAATCCAATAGGCACAGTGAGGCACAAGGGACAATAACTATTCATCTGCAGTTCAATGAAATATGAATTGATGAAGAAAAGTGAAAAATCATTCCTTTGATCCTTTCTGAGATTTTAATATAGTTTTTTTTAAGCTTGGTAATTCCCCCCCAAATGAATATATTTTAGGATCATTATCCCCATCTATTAAATAGACTGATATGTTATCTCTGATTAACTTTATC